GATACATGTACATTTATACATTTTTCCTTAGAACTTACTATGACCTCCCAGAATACTGATCTCTCCTCCTGGGACATTCTGTGTGTGTGTGTGTGTGTGTGTATGTGTGTATATATATATATAATATGGCATTATTACTAAGAGTAAATTTTGTCACCCAAGAATGGCAAAGGAAGAACTGTACTTATAAGTTAATCACAAATTATATCCATAGAAACTTTGATTACATGTTTTCCGAAGTATAATTATTTTCACCTGGGAATGCATCACCCTTCTGTATCCTGAGAGTGACAATATCTGAAGATCCCTGCAAAATCTGCTGAGTATCCTCCAGGGAGCACTGATCAAGTCTGAGGCTATCAATGGCCAGCAGCTTGTCACCAGGCTGAAGAGTTCCTGTCCGATGAGCCACAGAGCCTCGTCGGATATCAGAGATCAGGAGAGGTTCTCCTGGCAGGCAAGACTTTGAAGCTGCCAATATTTCAGAAAATGAAATTGCTGTAAATTCTGCATGTACAAGGGAGAGTCAGTAAATAGGTAACAAACAAACTGATATAAAAGGTAAAACATGTGATATTTGAACCTGGAAAAAACATTTATTTCTTGACATATCCTCTATCAACAATGAAAAACTTGTCCCAACGCTTTACCAATGCATCAAAACCTGCAACACAGAAGTCTTGTGACTGATGTCTCAGCCACTTCCGCCCCTCCATTTCAATCTCTTCACCATTAGCGAAACGTTTGCCACCCAGTTGTCAACCGCTTTAAGTGACAAACACTTCCCAACATAAACATGAAACATTTCTTTGTGAATATCCTTTGCATTGAGTCCTTTTGCCCACAGAAAACGCTCAGCAGAATGCTGTTTTGTGTTACACCCTTCAAGCACAGTCGCCATGAAGTTGGACTGTGCTGCTATCTAATGATATACATAGAAAACCTATTATGTCCATTACAACTGTTTTACTTCCAGTTGTGATGAATTTACTGATTCATAAATTAATAGCTTCTATGTTTACTGGCACATAAATTGGAAACTAAATAAAGCATTAGTCTACATCTATACAGATTATCTAACACCACTGTTCCTGTGATAACAGTGCTGCAATATGTAGCATGGTAATATAGGCATCCTTCTTTGATTACAGATCACAAGTTACAAGCATTCTCTTTGATTACAGATCACAAGTTACAAGCACTGTCGATATGCAATCACATTTTGAAAGGGCCTTTCTAATCTTACTGTCAACTTGAGATTTGTCCTTACATGAAGAAACAAGAAACATATGACTTAACTGAAAAATTTATCACAACAGCACATTGCTCACTGAAACTGAACCTCTCAATATATCTGCAGGTTTAAGCGTTTCACTTTTAATTCCAACTTATATTTTCCTTAATATACCTACATATATGGACATGGGATTTGGTATGCAGAACATCAGAAGTATGTATAGGGCAGGTTCGCTCAGGGCAGTGGCAGAAGAAATCTTAAAATATAAGTTAGATCCATAAAATCCTGGGAAATTCTTGAGTAGCTGCAGAAATGGTGGCTCCTCAAGAGGGCTCAGCTCCATGTTCTAGTTCTTCATAGAACCTGTTCTTTATGTCATCAATTTTATCTTCTGTTTGGGCGTGAACATTCATAATGATGATATCACACCAGCCACTTTTTAGTATTATATATGATATCCTATCACTAACGAACTCTACCCTCTTAACTGCTGATATGATTCTCTTGTGTATGAAGAAACCTGTTTTTCAATTAACCTAATCTTTCCAGCCGCACTATGGCCCTGGGGCTGACTCAGCCTCTTAACAGAAATGAGTACCAGGAATATTCTTGGAATTTTCTTTTGGATAAAGGGCGGCCGGTGCGTAAGGCTGACAACCTAGCTGTTTGTCTAGAAAATGTGGGAACCTCAACAACTCACAACCCTATGGACCTCCACAGCCTATTACATGGATACTTTTGCTTTTAGTTAGTTATTTAGAGAGGGTGGGTTTCCCCATGCACTGCAACCAGTTTGATCTATTGTGCTTCCCTCTATGATATTCTACCAGTCTCTTTGCCCTACCGATAAATGGTGCGTACCATCAGTCCCGCCGAGCAAGTGAGTTCGGCCACTTGCTTAGCGGTGTCTATAATGCTCCCCCCATCTATCAGAGGCCTTAGAGACTGTTGTTGGGCGGGAAACGTCCTGGAATTTGGCTCAGTGATCCCCTTTGGGGATATGAGGTTCTTTTACGTGCCGTAAAGTTACAACATGGGACACACAGCTTGAAGTCCCTCCCGGAGGACTTGTTCGTTGAATTTTTCCAACCTTAAAAATTCGACGACCTCCGCCGGGTATTTGAACCCGCGTACCACAAGTAATGAGGTGGGAACGTTACCTCTAGACTACGGAGGCCGCTTACTTTTACTTTTACTTTTACTTTTTTACTTTATGAAAAATCCTGTACCTAATTCATAATTTTCATTCCCATTTTCATAGAAAAATACATATATATTCGCCTGCTGGTTCGATGCCACCTCCATCCCATCTGACCTCCTGTACTCCCGCTAAATCTAACTTATATTTTAATTCAGTAAATCACAATTAACAAAAAATTTTCAAGGAGAAGAATGTGATGCATCAAGAGTAACTGAATAGTAATACCAATGACATACAAGTATGTAACATGAAAAAGAATGCTTTTATTTTTAAATTCCAAACTTAAGAATCTTAATCTTATATTAAGATCTGGTTGTGTACATGTAACTAAACAAAACCTGTAGTGCTGTCTGCTTCAGTTCTTTTGAGCCCTGAATTGTCTGCCTCTTGCTGCACATAGCATCTGGGTATAAAATTGCATATATCCACCTCTCATAAAAGTGGCCCAAAGCTCCTTTTCTCAGTACTGTTGGGCAAATTTCCAAATTTCTTGGAAAGCAGAATATGGGAATGGATGTGCATGGCATTCTGATAGTTATCACTTCTCTCCTTGCAAACCCCTTTCCTGAGAACTTAACTGGTGACTATAATATATTGCAGAAAAGTTAAATGAATATATCTACATCTGACACTCTCATGAAAAAAGCCTACTTCTGAAATTGACATATAGGTGGGAAGAATACAATATGGGTGACTTTCATCTTACATGTTTTTAAAGTTTATACTGATGTTATTGTCATGTGTTAGTGAGTAGACATAAGGTTTGGCCTGATAATTGGATTTATTGGACACTTCAACTTGTAACTAACTCAAACAGTTTCGCAGATCTACACACTCCACAAATCACTGTATCGCAAACGGGCCCCAACGATGAATATTCCTCTGCTTTCACACTCACATACTTACTGGATGGCGACTGTCTCACAAATAACTCATGATGGAAACTGACTGGCTTGTCACCCACTGGTCCTCATTATAATATCCCCAGGATGGACCGCATACAAAACAGCACTTTGAACAGTTCTTCTGCTGTTGCATGATATGTAAATGGGCAGTTGCCTAGCAATGACCTACATGTTTGTTGATGCATGCGCGTTTTCACCAGCCGTTGGCTAGCAATGGCCGCCTCTTCTGGCTCCACTATTCTGGCTTTCAGTCATTATGTCATAATATATTAATACAATGATCAGTTTTCTAAATATTATCCATCATTCTAATTTTTATTCAAAGTGATTTTAGTCTCCAAAACATTGTTTCAAATTAAACTTAGGACAATGGGCAATGATCAGAAAATTATCATATAAGGTAAAACTGTCCCTGTTCTTAACTAATTAAGCACTAAGCCATGAATATGTGTGGTGGAGTGGATGTACAGATCCACGTTTTCTTGAGCTTGGCAATAACTGGAATCAAGTGGTCAGCTTCACTCCTCAGCCGCTTTACTCCCAGGGATAAAGCTCCTGGTACCCATTGGATAGGAGGTAGGGTGGGCCCCAGAGCCAGTCTGGATGATGTGGAGAGGAGAAAATTCTTGATCCTACTAGAACTCAGTCTCCGGTCCCTCGCTCGTCCAGCTCATAGCCAGTCACTATACTGACTGTGCTATCCTGGCTCCCTGTCATTGTTTATGTGCCTTCATTATCCACAGTTTTATTCACTGTTATGTGGAGAAATGGCCTGTCCACAGCCACAGTGCATGCTGCCATACCTATATACATTGGCAGTTTCCCTGCTTTGTCCTACCATTTTGACTCACTCATGTACTTCCTTACTTTTTCTCAATTGTGCTATTTGTACAGTGGATTTCCTGTTTCATGCATTTTTAATATATGCGGTTGCTTTCATGAATGTGCCCCCCAGTCACAATGGATCTAAGCTAAATAGCATGTAAGGTTAAAACTGAACTGAACTGACCTATAAGAGGGTGGAATAATTTACTTTTGTGATGACCAAGTTCTGTAACAAGTGAACCACTGTCACCTGCTGAGTAAGTTCATACAGGCAGTTTATAGGTCAAATTGAGCAGCTCTACCCCTACAAAATGTCACCAGCTCTCCTTCTCATGTTCAGCCATTACAAAATATAATTTCGGACCATGGGTTCATGTGATCTTACCAAGGGGAGCGCAGAACAATTTGAACAAAATAAATTTTTCCTCATAAGCTACATGCATTTTATGCAACAAATTACTGGTGAATCGAACCTGGGACCTCTGGATTTGTAGCGAGGGTTTCTGACCACTAGTCCATGGAGGTGGCCCATAACCTCATAATGTTTATCTCATATCATACTCTCTCCTATATGCTGCATTTCTTGTCTTTGACTACAAAAACCTGATCATGACAGCTCACTACAAAGTTCAATCCTGAGGTAGTTTTTTAAAAAAACCACTAAGTTCATTTTCGAGATTAACTTCTTACACTGGAATTCATTTTATAGGATATAATGCCATGTAATCCAGTAAAGGTCACGCAATATTTTGGAGGAACATATCACCTTCAATTTCAGGGCTGAAGAATAAGACAAACAAGAAATCAGCGTGAAAGCAGGTAGCAAGCAAAGAATTGGCTTGCTCAAACTTTTGGACTGTACAGAAAACAGGAAGAAAATGAAAGACAGTGAGTCAGTTCCCATTGGCTCACCAGCAGAGAGAATGAAACACCAGTGTCCACTGGCTCACACACAACTGAGAGAACCAAGAGTTATCCTAGCCCTGAAAAGGGCTCTTTGTGCTGCTATAGGAAAAGACATGGGAGAATTAGTAAGGGTCTGGCAGACAGAGAACAGGGAGGATGGCTACTAAGTAAGTCATGGAGACTCCCCATCTGCTCCGTGAAGGACCACAGGAAGCCTCATTCACAGGACTGTAGAGCTGGGTTCTACATGGGGCCACATAGGTCCATGAACTCTGCCCTTGTCAAGCATTCACCAGCCCTAAGCTTCCACTTTGCTTTCCTGGCTTCCCTCTGCTACCACTGCTCCTTCATCCTCCACAGCATATCCTAGGAGCCTGGCACATGACTTCTGTCCCTTACTCCTCAGTTCCCTGGCCTTTTCTCCCATCTTTTGCTAGACCAGCAAAAACAGCCCTTTTCATGGCCAGGCTGGTTAACCTCTTCTTCTCTACTGTTGGTTTGCTTGGTTGTGGATGAGATGCAGTGGGTACTGGCAGTTCATTCTGTCCTACTGGCAAAGCCAGCGGGAACTTCCTTGCTGTCTTCCACTTACCTCCTCTTTCCTACACAATCTGAAATTTCAGCAAGCTGAATGCTCTGTTTGCCACCACCATTCATGCTGGTTTCTTGCTTCTACCCAGAAGTTGGAGGCAACATGTTCCTCTGAAACATCAGGAACCTGTCAATGGACTACAAGGAATTATATCTTCACAACCACTGCTGTGAGAACCTCAAATTATACAATTTTGTATACTGCACTAATTTTTTTGGGGAAAACAAAAATGTACATATACTGACAGAATTGAACCCACAGCCTCACCTCTCATCCAAGAGGAGATATTATAAAATTGTAAAGTAAATGAAAAATGGCGATTTTCATGCTTACTTTTGACATACCTGTAATTGTGATGCCAAGCCCACTGCCTCTTCTTGCCAGTTTCACAGAGAAAATACCACTAGAAGGAACAACTGCATCAGCAACATCAAACTCGACATGGAGGGTCAGCAGCGCTCCTCTGTTAGAGCCCTCAGCACACAGGAAGATTTGTGTCACTTCATCGGCGTTTAAACTGTCCAGTACTACTGACTTATGGTTTACTGCTAAAATGCGATCCCCAACTTGAAGACAACCACATCTAGTAAGAACAGATATCATTTCAATTTACACCACACTTCATTTAAATAGTTAATACAGTAAAATGAAATAATATAACACCGGGGCATATTTGCTCAAAGCAAGAATTGTGGAGTCACAACAGCAGGCCATTACTACACAGCATCCTGAAAACAACAACAGAATACGTCACACCATTGCTGAGCAACAACTGCACTGCAACAGAGGAATGGTGTTTCTAGGTGGCCCATGCTGAGAAGAGAGGTTATAAGCAGGGCAATTTAGGAGCAGTCAGTTAAACAACTGCTGGGATTCAGTTGTTGTGAGCTGTAGCTGTTAGTTGCTTTAGCTTCTTGGATTTTTTCTCTCTCTCCTTGAGATTGAAACATCAGCTTTAAGTATGACATCTGATTTCTGTGAGCTGATTATCATTCAATTCTGTGTTTGAAAGTGCAAAGCTACAACTGTGTACATGGTGAAAACCTTGCATCATGGCCCAACCTGGAACCATGTTCCATGCTACCCTGGCATCTCTCTTTCTAGAATTATACTCCTGACTATCACTACTGACTGAAACACCCTTTAGTAGTGATGGCTCCATCAAGCATCCCATTGACCATAATTTGAAGGCAATTTTGCCCACAGAGGAGTCTAAGGTGTCTCTGTTTTGTATGTTCTAAATTCATTTTGATACAACTTCAACTTTAACTTTATTTTTGTCCATAACTGAAGTGAATACAACTGGACATGTCAAGAAATAACAGCGCATACATCACATGCCAAAGCCATATAAAAATATACATATTACGAAATATATAAAGAAAGATAAAAATGGTGGGGTATGTATATATATTCCTGAAGATTTAAAATTTCCTACTATAATTTACATAAATACTGTAAGGAACAAGATCTGGAAATTGCTGCCATTCAAATAAAAGTAAAAGCGGTTAAGATAATTATATTCAGTATATATAGAGCTCCATTGGGTAATTTTGATTACTTTATTAATAAACTCGATTATATACTGTAACGTGTTTAGCCACTGCAACTTGTTGGTAACGTGTGTAAGTCCAATCCCACTTCTGACACCAAATGTAACGTGTTTCGCGACTGAAGACGCCGTTCGGATCGTTAATTGGTTTATTTAACAACCTACAAGTCGTAACTACAATTGATTATAACACTGTTGTGGGGTTTCACACTTTATAACCCTATTCGCAATAATCTCTTCACTCTGTGGGGTTTCACACTTTACAACCCTATTTGCAATAATCTGTTCACTCTATCTTCGGCAGTCTACACGTATTCACTGTACGGGAGGTATATAAGTGTCACTGTGTTATGCACTCCCAATTACTTCTTAGTTATCACAAACTATCACTGATTATCACACGCATCCGGTTCTTCTTTCCGCGACTGCTGCTATACTCCAACTGTGCTGCTCCTGATCACACACTAACTCTCGCTTGCTACTCAGCCGGCTTTTATTCCGCTTGCTGTTGCCTGTTGCCCGTGTCAACAGCGGCGTTGCGTGCCACGTCACAGTAGGAAGCGGTGCCATGTCACAGCGGGAAGCTCTGCCACGTCACAGTGCGGGGGGTGGGGGGGCAGAGTGCTGACTCACCTGCTACGTCACTACTGGGGGGAAGGGTGTGTCCTCCATTGCGCAACACGTCACAATACTTAATTTCTTTCATAAATATAATTTGGAATTTATAATATGTGGGGATATAAATATAAATTATCTGGAATCAAGTAGTAAAATAATTAAATTAGATGACATGTTAAATACTTATAATCTAATGGCTACAGTGTATTTTCCCACAAGAATCGGTAATAACTCAGCTACCTTGATTGACAATATATTCATTGACAACAGAAGAAGTTATACTGGCAGCTTGCATGTGCACCATTTTGTTTACGTCCGTCAAAGTGCGTGGTACCCACCATGCATTCACCTTGCGATAGTGCAGGTGGTATTTCATGATGTCTTCTACACTACCAACACTGATGGACAGCATTGCTCCAAGTTCCTTGATAGTGATGCGCCTAATCTCACGAATAAGCGCGTCTGCATGATCAATGTTTGGCTCAGTGACGGATGTTTGCGGCCGACGATCATGTGGTTAATTCTCCACGTGCTCTCTGCCCTCTCTGAAGCACTTACACCACTCAAACACATGGGTCAGTGAGAGACACTCTTCACCATACTGTTGTTGGAGTCTGTGGTGAATTTCAGCAGACGGGACGTTTTCTCCAACGAGGAATTTGATCACAATGCGTTGTTCCACGCTCCGCGGTACCTTCTGTTTGCTCATCACTCTAGCAACTCCCAGACAGGACTGAACAGTTTCTAACCCTAACAGGAGGGAGGGTGCAGGTTGTGGCTTCACTCTCTCAAGGTCGCACAGCTGCTGCGCAGTGCAGCTTGTTTACACACAAATCAATCCCAGTCATATTTGAACCACCTTGTATGTCGATTTTTAGGCAAGAAGAACTGAGGATTCTGTCAACATAATTTTTAGTCAACATTCCACAGACAAAATGCTTTTGGTGGGTCAGAACGCAGATAATGAAGAGTAAGGTGTCCCAACTGTACCTGTCAGCTGGTCCCCCTGGATCAATACTGCTAATGACAACAGCAGGAGAGCTGGAGTCTGGATTCACTACAGATAGCCCATAACCATGAAGATCAGGCTGTAGAGTCACATGGAGGGTCTCTGTGTGGCATAGCACCCCACCAGAGTAGCTTCCAGGAAGAGATGCTGTGGGTAACACAAAGAAAAACACCAATCAGGTATACCTAAAGCTCTTCATGTGAACCATCTGTAACAAGATGATTTTATGTACAATAAAAGGTGATAAAATCTATTTTTGATTTGTTTCATTCTGATCTGTCACACTAATAATAAACTGGTAGAAATCTAACAAGGTACAAGGAACACATAAGAAATATAAGACTAAACAAAGACGAATCAGCATTTGCCCAGCATATACTAAACAAATGCCAACAGTATGGACCGATGACAGTAATCATGGAAATGGTTGAGAACACCAAAAAAAGGACCACCATGAATATAAAAGAAAACTTCCATATATATATATAATAATAATAATAATAATAATAAGCTTTAATAAGCTCAAAAAAAGAAAAACAGAAACACACAAAGGAAAGTGATAACCAGTATAACATGTTCGACCTCATAATACAACATCAGTCACACACGAACGTCACAGAAACAAGGAGTATAAATACATGGTACAACGCACCCTAGAACAGTAAAAACAACACAGCATGTCACAAACACATACAGGACAACATCAAAGGTAGGACGAAATAACAAAACTTTTTACAAAACATAATAGGATTGCTGAAATAATACAATATACCCATACTGTATATTTGCAGAACCCTCTTCTTGAGAATGACAAGTCAGCACACATTGGGCCCCATCAAAAGAAATAATAAAAGGGATGACACGAACCAGCTTGGTTTACAAATTCTAATTAAAAGAAATAATAAAAGGGATGACACGAACCAGCTTGGTTTACAAATTCTAATAGAGTCTTAACAAAACAATTATAAATATTTTTATGTATTGGAACAGCCATTGTAGTTGTAAAGACTTTAGATTTTACACCCAATTATATATTATTAATATTGTATGTATACATTTTAATTTTTAGGATATGTATTGTAATAGTGGCTTCTAACTGTATTGATGTAAAGGTGTTCCTCTGATGATGGTCTCTGAAGACCGAAACATGTAAGGGCATAAATAACTGAAATAAGAAAAATCTTCAACAGTCACGCTAGACAGAACTGTTTAACTTTTCATGATAAAATCTAAGTGAAGTGAATCCTCTTTCTAATCTGTCAGTGAAAACTTGTGGTGACAAAGAATTATGTTATAACAAGATCATGAAAGACATACATGTATGTCCATTTAACTCATATACAATTTCCACCTTAACATCTGGAAAGAACACTAGAAAACTTTTCTAACACCATAATACATTACAGAAGTAATGTTTCTTGAGGAGAAACAGGTTTAATTATGTTTGATTTGATATTCTCATTGCCATGGCTATAAAATTATGGTCTTCTGAGTTGTGACATTGTGTAATTTGGAGCTTCTGATGTTTTGGAAAAACATATTACCTCCATCTTCAGGGATTAAGAGTGAGCCAAGCAAGAAACCAGCAGAAGCAGGTGGAAAGTTCAGGCTGTTCAATTGGGAAGATGGAGCCAATATGTTCTTCCAAAATGTCGGGCTCTGTCTGCAATACATGGCGTTACAACCCTGAAGATGGGGCAACACGTTCCTCCGAAATGTTGAGTGATCTCTCAGCTACCATTGCATACAACCCAGAGACTGCACTCTTCAGGTTTAATTATGGAAGACTACTCTTCATAATATTATATGAGTATTGTAGCATATAATTTATTATACAACAGATGTCACTGATAAACCATCTTACATGCAACGCATCCTTCTAAAACTTGTTTAAAAGTTTCTTATATGCACACAGTGCATATTTTAAACGTTACATTACACTACATGTTTTGATGGATATTGGTCATCATCAGATGTTCAAAATTGCTGGTGGAAACTGCTGTGCTTCCATTTTGTGATTATAATATTTAATGTGTAGTCCCATCTATGTGCTCGTGTATTTCATGGTGCTGGGTGTCCCTTTCTGTTGTGTTGTGTTGTGTTGTGTGTCTAGACTATGACAATTTTAAACACCTGATGATGAACAATGTTGATCGAGATATGTAGTGCAATGTACAGAAGCTGTGAAACAAGGTTTAGAAGATGCACTGCGTGTATGTACAAAACTTGAAAATACATTTTAGAAGGATGTATTGCATGTAAGACAGTGAATCAGTGATATTTGTTGAATAATTAATTATGGAAGGATGAGAAGCCAGAAAGGAGGGTTTTCTTGGAGGAGTTGACAGGAACTTCCATGCAGTTTCAAGGGCTGCTCTGTCGCAGAAGATTGACTGAGTCCACATGACAAGGGCAGTTCCTGAGAATGATGACTGCTTCATTCATAGGAAATGGCAGCTGTATGAAGTTTCTTTTTATAGAAAGGTATGTAATATATTCATATTTGTCTGGATGTTCATGATCTGGGGACTGAAAACATATTATCTGTTATCTCATGATATGAAAGGTCACACACTGTCAGTTCTTCATTGCGGTACAGGGATTAAAAGAGGTTCTCTCTGCTTTTTGCACACTGACTGCTTAAGTTCATTCCAGGCATGGTAATCTAATGGATTTAAAACCAGAGAATTTTGTGACAATTCTGTGTGTTTAATAAATTCAACTCAGCATCATCTGATACCTTCTGAGTGAGCAATACAATATGAAAATAACAATTTTTAACTTTCAAAATGGAAATCATTTCTCTGTGTAACAAATGAACTAAAATACATCTCTTTATACACATATTTAAGTACGTTCTGCAGAACTTGTACGAGCTTCATTCGAATCCATATGGCCTTTTAATTTTACCATTAAAAGAATTATTTCTTGGGGCTACCTGATATTTGCACTGAAACACACAGGGAAAGAGTGGGCAGTAGCTTTCAAAGATAAACTTCCCTGCCTCTACTTGGATCCTGACCAGTTGCATCTTACAGACATGCACTAACAGGATATAAATGAGTCTCACCACCACAATTACCTGGAAGGGCTGTGAAGAACTGCAAACCGTTCGGATTGCTCGGACCCAAGATCCAAAAAACAATGGCTTTTCCAAGGATAATCAGACATAGCGTTAACTTGCAAACTCATGTGATTGGTTCACTTATTACTATTTATTTATTTATAATTTATTTAAAGATACTGTCAGTAGCTCGGACTATACAGTGTTGAATGGTGAGATGGCTAATGAATAATGAATTGGAAAGGGTGCACAAGGATGCTATAATGGTCTACTTTGAGATATCATCCAAAATCTGCCCCGAGAAACTGAAGGAAACCTCACAAAAAAAAACTTCAGTGAAGACAGCTGATGTCCCAGCCAAGATTCTAACCAGTTATCTCCAAGATATAAGCCTAAAGGGTTGCCATTTGAGTGCTTCTCCATCCCTACACTTCATCCAACTGCAGTCATATCCAATACCTGTGTCGTGGCAGCTTGTGCTGTTACTGTCCGCCTTGCCCAACCTATTAAGCCGTGGATGATGTGGGTGACTATACTGTCTGCTACGATGATGGCGTGAATTGAGTGTGCTGAAACCTGATGGACTTGGGCTAGGAGAATGGAGACCTCCAGTGTTGCACTTCGGCCCTAGGAAACCTTTAAAGAAGGGACTGTATAACTTACATATTCCATCAAGTACTGTAACACCATAATGTCACATTGCCCAGCAGGATCAGTGCTAAATTGAATGCTGTTGCACCGAGAGTAGCGCTCCAGCTTCATACTTCCATTTCCTTCCACGCGTTTCTAAAAGAAAGTTGATTTTGTATGTTATTCAAGGTGATATCGTGAAGCTTGCAAGAATATGGAGGCAGCAGATTCCTCTGGAGCATTGATACCTGTCCATCAAGCTACAAAACATCACATCCCAGAAGACTATGATCTTCAGTTCTTTCCATGTCATATGACACATGTCAACAGAAAACAGTATGTTAATTCTGCAACAACTGTACAGCATTTCGAGAAAGTTCACTTTTACTAGACAAACATACATTGTTTCACTTGTTGTTCCACTACACCTTCAAACCATGAAGTACAAGAGAATATTAGACACTACGGTCTGGGGAAAAACTATGCATTATGATCTGGGAAGTTTGATATGTATTAAAATCTATTATGAAATTATAGCACAATGATTTAGCAGTATCAGCATTCCAAATAGCAACTAGTAACTAGATAGCAGTCTTTGTTGTTTGAAACGACATAAAACAGCAACAACTCTGACTTCTAATTATAAACATTCCCTTTACAATTTTGTTTAATAACAGACACTTTCAAACAGATAAAGATTGTTACTGTTTTTCACCCCATCACTGTTCCAGACACAGGCTTAGACAAACTGGTCCATGAGGCCCAAAGCAGAAGGGTTAAATGACAATAATTTCTCAAGTTTTACAAATTCATGTAATTTAGTTTGTGTTAGATTTGTGCTTGTCATTAAAACACAAGCTTTTAATTTAGTGAAAAGAATCTATCAGTATTTCAATGGGTCTGTCACTACAATCATATTGCCCTACCTCTACTCCGGACACTGTTCTCAGACAGCCTCCAACCACAGTTTAACTGTGAGAGCGGAAGAATTTCCAGAGTAATGTGGGCACTGTTAACGTTCCTGAGTAGTTGCATCACATCCGCAGCAGTTGTGGTCACTCCATCCACACGTGTTTCATCCACAGCGAGGATCTGGTCACCCACATGCAGAGCGCCACACCTGCAAGGAACAAGTGCATTGCATCAAGTACACTATACTCCCAATTATTTGTGAGCAGATTATCCACTTTGTGGCTACTCATTAGGTCTTTTTCCTTTTATTATCACAGATAATCAGAAACACGGTGTATTTATTTGGGGACATGCAGTAACGTAGTTCGTTGAAGCACTATGCTACAATCCAGAAGGTCGCGGGTTCGATTCCCGATGAGGTGAATTTTTTTTCAAGTTACCTAATCTTTCCAGTCATAATATGGCCCTTGGGTCGACTCAGCCTCTAACAGAAAGGAGTACCAGAAATCTGTGGGGGGTATAGGGCGGCCAGCACATTAGGCTGACAACCTTACTGCCATCTGTGAGCTAATTGTCTAGAGAAAATGTGGGAACCTCAACATCTCACAACTCTACGGGCCTTCACAGCCTGTTGCAGGGATAGCTTTTCTTACAGTGTATTTATTCATAAAAAAAAATAAATAAGTAAATAGATAAAACTTCATTTGAGTGTGTTCAAGAACAAAGTGACAAGGGAAATATTTTGGTTTAACTAAGAGGAAATATCAGGATGATGGAAAAATTGCATTATGAGGAGATTTACAATTTAAGTTCTCTGTTTATTATTATTATGGTTGACAAATCAAGGAGGATGAAATCAGTGGGACATGGAGAAGATAAATATGTACAAAACTTTAGCCAGTATGTAGAAAAGGAAAAGACCACATGGTAGACCTAATATGCAGGAAAGGAAAGATAATATAAAAATGTTTCTCAAACCAACAGGTGTGGGTGGTATTCAGGTACATCAGGAACAGGGTCAAATCGTGAGTTCCTGTGAACAAAGTAATGAACATAAAGCTACAGTCTTATAGGATGTGTTGTCGTGTAGTTTGGTACCTGTCTACTGAACTACATCACCACGAAGTCATAATATAAGGCTAGCTACAGTAAGCATGGCAGAATTTATGGGCTAAGTTTTCAGACTTCCTCTCTTGCCTAGGGGTGACAATGAAAATCATAGCAGAGATGGCGCAATTTGCATGGCTTTCTTCCCCTGTATAATTCTGTCATGGCTCTTTGTACAATGCGGCACTTGTGGCTTCTATTTTCACTGATATTTTTGCTACAGTGGTACTTCATTATCTTGCCCCACAGTGCCATAGTGAAACTTATATAACTGCATTTGATTTAAACTTCTTAATTCACATGAATATTAACATGGAATTTATACACAAATTAGATTAATTAAGATGGATAATTAGGCTTGATAGTTATCATAATTAATAACAATGGATGGCTCAGGTTTTCATAGATAAGAGATCCCTTCTTGTGGGTCTCTATAATGGGGAAGAACACATTTAGCAGTCACAACAGAAGCCACAATAAAGCACCTAAAAAAGAAGAAATTTATTAGTTTCTCGCAGCACAAAGTATTTTATTCCCCATAAATATTCCTTATGGTATAATGTTCAAAATTTAATTTCACCATTAGAAGAGGTTATAATATAAATAATATAAGTGTCAAAAAAGTTGTAAAAGTACATTAAGCAGCAGTGCCAAGACACATGTCCACTACCTGAGGATTCTTTGAGATGCCAGTATCCACATCACGTTCCCCTTTCAAGAACTTCAAAACTGTGACATATGATGATGATGATACAAAAATCTTGTAAAATCACTGGCATATTCAAATGGAGCCATCTGGAGCTATATTTAAATATTACAAATATTACTGGTCACTTCTCAAAAAACTACATCATTGTAATCAACAGATGTCTGGCACCTGTTTCCCATAAAATTTTGAAGTGCTTTCAGTTGATTCACACCCAGTGCAACCTGACTTATAGCACATAACCGTCAAAGTCCAAGACTTTCTGGAGTCATGCCAAATATAAAGAATTGATTAGTTTGGCCTAAATTGTGGGCAGTTACAATAGAAAAATACACGTTGTATTAAGAGCAAACTGAATTCAGGAAATGCTACCATTTAATTCACAATATTTTATTTTAACATGTCATGTATAAAAAAACCCTAAAGAATAAAACACAAAGCTATAATTTACCCTGTGGTTTACATGAGTATGAAACTTGATTTGAGGCCACTGAAGATGCTACAATATTTCTTGTTGCAGTACAAAAATATATACATCAAGAGACAAAGAGAACTGAAGCAATTCATACGAAAGTCAAGAAGTACGTAACATCAATGTTTTTAAAATGAAGAGTAAGGTTATGTACATACTGTACATTATCACACACACGGCGCTCATGGAGAGGTCTATCACCTTTCTGCTATGCTAGCTGGCTTGATGCTCTCAATAACGACGGCAGTAGAGGCTTCACCTTCTTGCCGTGATGTGGCACTGGCCAAAGTGACACCCAGATCCTTCACAGGTGGACGTTCGATCTCCACCAGCAGTGGACCTGTTGCCTGACGAACTGACTCCAGTACACTCACATCATATTCAATGGTTAACACTGTGAATTTAGAGTCTGACTGATGGAGAACAGTTTGAGCATCTGTTAAGGTAGCACAGTGAAGTGACTGACCATCTACTGCCACTAGTCGATCACCACTCTTCAAGGAACCTTCGCTGAAAGAAATAAATTACAGTAGACCTCAATTAACTGGTAGTGGTGGACCCAATTAGACAGATGGTCACATGCATTTCCATGACATAATAATGATAAGGATGATTGGGGTGAGATGGGATGGGCCTAATTCCCTAAGGTCTGAAATAAATTAGTCATGGGAGATCCAAAGGATGAGAAGGATGGTGTGTAAGAATGGAGCACTGGTGGAATGACGACTGCTCAGGATAAGCAGAAGTACTCAAAGAAAAATCTACTCTAATGCCACTTTGATCATCAGATTCAATGCAGACTTCCCTCAGATTGAACCCAAGTCTCTGCTGTGAGAAACCAGCAACTGGCCACTTGAGCTCAACCCCCCCCCCCCAGCACCATACACACATTTATTTTACATAATCTGAAAAATCTGCAATAAATGTATATATTCAATAAGTACTGGCTCATGAATGAGTTTTGCCCCGTGTCATAACTGGTACTTTTTGTTCACTTAGGCACCATCTTAATTCTTGTACTGGGGTTTTACGCTGCCTGGTAGAATTATGAAGGTGCATCTTTTCAGTCGATGTGTAGTTTTGCTATTGTCTAATAGGTTCACTGTTAGTGCATTAGTGTGGTTTTCTAGTTTTCTTAAGTATTAGGTAGTCCACCTTTTTATTTCACTGAGCACTGTGTTCATTTGTAGATTTTCATGGAACCTGTGGTTGTTTGTGTACCAAGGCGCTTTCAGAATAGATCGAAGAATCTTGGATTTAAAGGGCTGGGGGATTTCGATGTTGGAATTGGAGGCTATCCCCCATAGCTGAATTCCATAGGTCCATATGGGTTCAGTACTGCTTTGTATAGGAAGAGTTTGCTTTCTGTTGATAGTGTTGATCTTCTTCTGAGTAGCCAGTTCATTTGTTTCACTTTCAGGTTGGGCTGCTTTTGTCTGGTTTTGATGTGCTTTGCTCATGTCAGTCTTATATAGAGATGCATGTCCAGGTATTTCACTTCATTTTTTCTGGGGTAGAGCAACTTTGCTCATTTACACTTTTGGGGAGGTTTGGTTGTGTAGGGTGAATGTAATATGCGTGGATTGGCTTTGATTTATTTTAATTCTCCATTCCTTCGGCCAATCTTCAATCTTACTGATGGTGGCTTGGAGTTTCATGGAGGCTATCACTGGATCTTCATGTGTGGCTAAGTTTGCTGTATCATTGGCGAAGGTAGCAGTTGTTGTGTTGTCTGATGTCAGGAGGTCCCTTGCGTAGATAAGATATAGGACATGTCCTAAGAAACTTCCTTGAGGTTGTGATTTCATTTTTGAATTATATTTGAAAGAGTCTATCCATTAGATATGTAACTAATATTCTGTAATATGCTTGGGGAAGGATTTTTTCTGATTTTGAACAGGAGGCCTGGGCGTCATACTTTATCAAATGCTTGTGTGATGCCTAGGAACAATGCAGAGCAGTGCTGTTCCCCCCCCCCCAAGTTCCTCTTATCATTTCTGTAACCTGAGCTAAGTGCAGTAAAGATAAATGTAAAAATAAGAGCCCCTGGTACCTATTGTTAAGATTCGGGGGTGGGTCCCAGAGCTGTTCTGGACACTGTGGAGTAGGAGAAAAATGTCTTGCCCCTACCAGGAAAAGAAACCCAACTGTACAGCCCATAGCCCATCCAACTCCTTGAGCTCTTGAATGACCAGCTCTAAAAAGACTGAAAATGAGGAAGATCTCACAATGCAGATTACAAGAGGATAAATAATGGCTCCTATCTGTTACATTTATGACTATATGACACTTGAGGTTTTAACTAAGTTTGGATGTAAGCAAACAGAGAAATCTAATTAATCACAAATAATGTCATTAATTCATCCACACATCCATTCATATATGGGCAAGAAAATTCAGAAGAATTATCAGAACTGAAGAGTAAGGTCCAGATTATAAACCTGGACGATTAAACCATGGACTGCTGTATATCCAACATAAAACTGTATTCCAGAGTGACTGTGAACATTTTTAAGTTGCCTTAGATATGGAGGTGAATGAGTGGTATAAGTGCAGTACATCTATGCAAAAGGATGCTCAAATATAATATTATGAATTCCAGAAGAATTTTTTTTATTGCTAGTGGGGTGGGACTAAATCCCTTGTACTGCGGCCACTTCTGGCCTATTGTACCAGCCCCAGATGACAGGTGAGGGTGATTGTGGAGCAATTGGTGGAATGAAGATTGGCAGGGGAAACCGAAGCACTCGGAGAAAACCTGCCCCAGCACCACTTTGTCCACCACAAATCCCACTTGACCAGACCCGGAATCAAACCCGGGCCGCCGCGGTGGGAAGCCAGCGACTAACCGCTTGAGCTATGGCGCGGCCATTCCAGAAGAACAGTTTCATGTGAATGAAGGTTTCAACACCGATTCATAAACTCACCTGTCCGCAGGCCCCCCAGGGCGGACGTAAGTTATCACAAGAGGCCGTGACAGGAGAGGGTCCGGATGAGCTCCTCCTCGCAAGGTGAAACCAAGACTGCCAGCTTCTCGCTCTATTGTCACATGTGTTATTTTTGGGCACACACACACTGAGTTTTCTGATGCTGTGACAAACAAAAATCACAATCCACTTCTTACAGCATGTTAGAAAGATCATTGTACCAGAACACTAAATCAGTTAATGCTCATGATACATATTTTGGAGGGCTTGCGTTCTATTCTGGAGCTAGAGACTGGCTATCCTGATAGGTTTTGACGCCCTTTTTGAGCGGGCGGCGGAGGAAAGTGTGAACATATCGTGAAGCACAGAACCATTGCTAGGCAACGCCTTCAACATACACGCGGTCAACAGTACACGAACGGTGACTTCTGTGGTCTGCACGGCGACCGTTGGTATGCAACGTGCGGTACGCGCGGCCAACGATACAGAAAGGCTGTTTTTTCTGCTGTGGTCCGTGCTGAGTGGTTATAAAAGACATGGAAGTTCATTTGAAGCAGTCGAGCTCGAGGTGCCAGCCGTCCAGGATATGAGATTGGAAGCAAAGGAATCGAACTGAGGAATTGGGGCATCGGGATTACTGAGTGCACGTCAGTTCAGCTGTCGGCAGGAGACAGCCACGGGAAGTTAGTAGATGAAGAAGAATTAGAAGTCGGCCTGCGAAGATTCAGTGTGTGATTAGAAGGTTTACGCACAAAGAAACTGTTTTATTTCCGTCACCAGAATACGACTAATGAAGACTGGAAATCCTACTGTGTGTGTAACGGTGAACTGTAAAGTAAAAGAAAAGTTGTCCCTGTGCTTAGCTAATTAAGCACTACGCCATGAAGGTGTATGGGGAGTGGATGTATAGAGGTATATTTTCTTGACCTCGGCACTAGCTGGAGGTGAGTGGTCAGCTTCAAGCACCGGCCGCTTTACCCCCTCGAGGGGAAGAGCCCCGGTACACATGGAATAGGAGGTTGGGTGGACCCCAAAGCCGATCTGAACTCCGTGGAGAAGAGAAAATTCTTGGTCCAATTGGTCGTTCAGCCAGTAGTCAACCGATATATCGACTGCGCTATCCCGGCTTCTAAAATTGAACTGTAAATTGTGTAAATCAGCGATAGCGCTGTACTGCTTGTAAGTACGAGTTGATTGCAGAAGGTTTTAATAATTCCAATCATCTAATCTAGAACCCGTTATTATTGGTCACGACCATAAAACACGTGACAATATTTTGGGGGATGGAAATGTGTTCCCACCGTCTGTAAAAACACAACTGGCGAGCCGCATGATGAGGTCTCCATGCCGCGAATTGGACAGCCTAGATCTATGCTGTGGCATGCAGACCCGCTGATAGGCAACGACAGCGAGATAAGCAAATATATAATAGTCGTTACTTCGCAGACAAGCGTGTTTCCACGACAACAGCCCGTCCAGAATCACATTCTATCAAGTGACAACATGAATCGCATGTTACACAGACTTGTCACTTCATGCTGGTTAACTTTCCTCGCCATGACTATGACCAAAGACTTACGGAAGCTGGGCAGTGGATACTCCAGCTCTAGCACAGCTCTGTCCTCCACTCCCCTAAGAAGGCTCACAATCTCATCGTGCTTGAGGCGGGTCGTGCTGATACCATTCACAGCCGTGACGCGATCCCCGGCGCACAGAGCGTCGCAGCGCTGTGCAACACTGCCGGGTCGCAGGCTGCTTATGCTTGGACACAGGCCTTTGTCCACTCCACCTGAGGGAAACAACAACCACACTTACATGGCGATGTTACTTGCGTAACTTGAAGTCTACAATTTACGTAGGATGATATCCACCTAGCAGGTTGTTAAGGTAAAGTTGTCCCTGTTCTTAACTGATTAAGCACTATGCCATGAAGGCGTGGACACCAGAGCCGGTGTGGAGGATTTAGAGAAAATTATTGACACCACCGGGACTCGAACTCCGACCCCTCGGTCGTCCAGCCCGTAGCCAGTCGCTATACCGACTATGCTTTCCTTAGGTGCTTGCACTGTACACTACAGTTATTCAACAAAGTAACGGTAAAGTTTTCCCCGTGCTTAATTAATTCAGAAAATGGCTTTAAAGACGTATAAGGGAGTGAAGGTATAGCTCCACAATTCTTGACCTCGGCACTAGGTGGTGAGTGGTCAGCTTCATGGCCCGACCGCTTCACTTCCAAGTTTAGAGCCCCCGGTACCCATTGGATAGAAGGTTGGGTGAACACCAGAGCCGGTCTGAACCCTGAGAAGAGAAAACCTTTCATCTCTGAAGGGAATTCAACCCCGGCTGTCCAGTTCCTATCCTATCGTTATACCGACTGAGCTATCCCGGCTGCAACAGTTATACAGTACCTAATTTTAATTTAATATTGCATAAATCTCATTTGCTTATTCTTATTTTCCAACCGTAAATCTTCTGTACTCCTCACTCCCATACTCTTAGTTTGCACTCCTCACTCCCATACTCTTACTTTGCACTCCTCACTCCCATACTCTTACTTTGCACTCCTCACTCCCATACTCTTACTTTGCACTCCTCACTCCCATACTCTTACTTTGCACTCCTCACTCCCATACTCTTACTTTGCACTCCTCACTCCCATACTCTTACTTTGCACTCCTCACTCCCATACTCTTACTTTGCACTCCTCACTCCCATACTCTTACTTTGCACTCCTCACTCCCATACTCTTACTTTGCACTCCTCACTCCCATACTCTTACTTTGCACTCCTCACTCCCATACTCTTACTTTGCACTCCTCACTCCCATACTCTTACTTTGCACTCCTCACTCCCATACTCTTACTTTGCACTCCTCACTCCCATACTCTTACTTTGCACTCCTCACTCCCATACTCTTACTTTGCACTCCTCACTCCCATACTCTTACTTTGCACTCCTCACTCCCATACTCTTACTTTGCACTCCTCACTCCCATACTCTTACTTTGCACTCCTCACTCCCATACTCTTACTTTGCACTCCTCACTCCCATACGCTTACTTTGCACTCCTCACTCCCATACTTTTACTTTGCACTAACATTTAACCAATAATCTCCTGCAAGCTTAATGTAAGCTCTTGATCAGTGGTGCGGTTCAAACCACTGTCCTCCACATGTATTTCCCTTATGGGTGCATTCAACCTGCCTCGGTGAAAACCAAAAACATCAAATGTCACCACACACTACTGGAATCAAACGGACAACAATCAGTTGTTTTCTATTTTGAATAAATAAATGTAAAAGGGTAATGTTGTTTCTATGCTTAACTAATTAAGCAATACGCCATGAAAGCGTATGGGGGGTGGATGTATTACTCCACATTTTCGTGACCTCGACATTAGCTGGCAGTGAGCGGTCAGCTTAACGCCCCGGCATCCATTGGATAGGAGACTGGGTGAACCCCAGAGACAGTCTGGACGACGTGGAGAAGAGGAAATTATTGACCCTACCGGGAATCGAACTCTGACCCCTGGGCCGTCCAGCCATTCGCTATGCCGACTGAGCTATTCCGAAAAAAAAGGCCTAGGCAATGTCTATCGGCCCTCTGTAGCACATACTTACAAGCATCTTATTCTATCATAGCGAGCACCAGCGATTTTTGCATATACCTCCTAACTCTAACATTTTGTGAAGCCAGCAGGCATTTCAGGAACAAAAAGAGGGAATATCTGAAAGATAAAATTGATGAGCTTGTAGTAAACAGTAAGAACAAGAACATCAGGATCTGTATAGAGGAATAAATGACTTTAAGAGGGGTTAACAACGTAGAAGTAACTTAGTGAAGGATGAGAATGGTGATCTGCTTGCAGCTTCCAACAACATTTTGAATATGTGGAAGAACTACTTTTCTCAGTTACTGAATGTAAAAGGGGCAGTAAAATGAAAACGGATCTCCACGCATAACTCACACGGCGCGCAAGTTGGTAATACTAGAATTTGCTTACGGTACAAAAATCTGGTGAGGACTCGGTAAAGCACAGTGACAACGTGCCCTTGCAAACTAGTCGTTGTTTATTGTGCTGGAAGTAAGGATAGCGCTACGTGTGGTCGCCCAACATCAGTAATGGAGGCAGGTAAAGAAGGACAGCGAAGTGTAGTGAGCTCTTTGACTGCTGAAGGAGTAGGAGGATGCGAAATTCATCGCAGCATGACTGTTGTTTACGGCAAACACAGCATGTCACAGATTCCGAGAGGGACGTGTGTCACTGTAAGATGATGCTCGCCCAGGACAGGCTCATCGTGTCATCACTCCTGAAGTTATCGCTGCGTTGGATGGTCATATCCGGGCAAACCGACGGATCACTATGGAAGAAATTAGTCTTTTGATGGGAATAATTCACGGTTCCGTACACTACATTTTGACAAGACACCTGCTGTACCACAAAATCTGCGCGCAGTGGGTTCCACATCAACTCACGGAGGAACAGAAGACTCAGAGAATGGCTGCATCACTGGGTCACTTGCAACGATACCATGAGGAAGAAAATGCTTTTCTGTCCCGTATTGCCACTGGGGACGAAACTTGGTGCCACCATTTTGAACCCGAGAGCAAACGGCAGAGCCAACAGTGGAAACACGTGAATTCTCCCCACCGAAGAAATCCAAAGCCGTACACACAAGTTCCGGTAAAGTGATGATGACGTTCTTCTTCGACTGCAAGGGCCCTCTGCTTGTCAAATTTCTTGAGCATGGTGCTACAATCAGTGCACAGCGCTATGAAGACACTTTGCAGAAACTGAGACATGCCATAAAGTCAAAATGCCCTGGAATGCTATCCAACGGCATTATCCTTCTTCATGGTAATGCGCGCCCCCACACTGCCAACTCTGTGAGGAATGCGCTACAGAGATTTGGTTGGGAAGTGCTTAACATCTCCCCTACAGCCCAGATCTCTCCCCATGTGATTTTCACATTTTTGGAGACCTGAAGAGAGATATTCTTGGACATCGGTTTGCATCGGACGGAGACGTGTGTGGCTGGGTAACGATGTGTTTTTGTAAACAGACCACAAGCTTTCTCAAGGATGGGATTGACCGTCTTATCTCCCAGAACGAAACAAAATCTCCGTGGTTTTAGTCCGCAAGCAAACTATACCGACCGAACGACCGCCGCTTGTCGGAGAAGTTAGTGCCAACTTTTGCGGATAGAGGGTGTCGAGTAGTCAGCGAAACGAATCCTCACGGCCGTTAATGTCAGTTTTCTAGACCAGAGCCGCTATTTCCTTGAAATAGTTCCTCAGTTATCCTCACGAGGCTGAGTGGACCCCGTTCCAGACCCATTACTTCTCAGAAAAAAATCTGGTATCGCCGGAAATCGAACCCGGACTTCTAGCCAGGAACTCTGACCACTGGGCCACAAAGGCGGTCTCGTCTTAATAAGACGGTCTTATCTCCCAGTGGGATAAATGTATTAACAGTTTTGGAGATTACCTTTGAGGTAAGAAATATTCTTTAATATGTTTTGGCTTCTGAGCAGTTTTCATTTGACTGCCCCCTATACATATAGTCAGTGATGTTAAGCAGACAGAAATCCATACAGCTGAGCCGTTAGTACCTGATCCGAGCCCTTTTGAGGCTGAAAGTGCTATTGCAAAATTGAAACGGTATATATCGCCAGCTATTGATCAAATTCCGGCAGAACTTATTCGAGAAGGTCGCGAAATATACCGTATTTACGCATGTATAGGCCGCGCGCGTGTATAGGCTGCAGCACAATTTTCAGACAGAAATTATAGAAAAAATAATTTTCTTGGAATATTATTTCAGGAGTAGAACACCCTGTATTACTAATTATGAATATAATTTTTTTTAAATGAAGTGTGATTTCGAATATTTCGAATATAAGCCGCACCCCAGTTTTCCTCTTGAATTTTTGGCAAAAAATGTGCGGCCTATACATGCGTAAATACGGTACGTGCTAAGATCCGCAAGCTAATTACTTCTTAACAATCAAGTTCCTTCCGTCAAATGTGACACTTTTTTAAGTTTTCCACCTCGTCACCACCTGCCTTACATGTTTCGGCTCACCACGGAGCCATCATCAGAGGCATTTATAGTAGAAAAAGAAATCACCAACACACAAAACTTCACTTTGTCAAAGATAACCACGTTCCAGTTAATTAAAATAATTACAAATAGTTAAAATTACCCAGAGTATCGGTTCACTAAAAGTTTTCACACACCACAGTAGTGGTTAGTGTGACGGACCAGAATGAAAGACCTTAAACTTAATTACTTCTATTTGGCATAAGGGAAGATTGACTGATCAGTGGAACGAGCCTATTATTCTATGAGTTCACAAGAAGGGTGATAAAACTGACTAATAATTATCGGGGGATATCACTGCTATCAACTTCATACAAAAGTTTATCCAATATTCTTCTCTCAAGGTTAAGTCCATATATAGATGGAATTATTGGGGATATTCAGTGTGGGTTTCGACGTAACAGATCAACTACAGATAACAGTAAAAATGGGAATACAATGAGACAGTACATCAGCTATTCATAGACTTCAAGAAAGCCTATGATTCAGTTAGAGGGGAAGTATTGTACAATATTCTAATAAGAGTTTGGGATACCCATGAAACTGGTTAGACTGATTAAAATGTGTTTAAACCGAACATATAGTAAAGTCCGCACAAGTAAACATTTCGCTGATAAATTTCCTACCCAGAATGGTCTAAAACAAAGGAGATGCTTTATCGCCACTCCTTTTCAACTTTTCTTTAG